TTCCAAACCAGCCTTTTGGCCTATCCTAAATAAATAAATAAAGCAAGCAAGCAAGCACCCCAGGAGCCCAGGGAGATAGGTGGCTTAGTCAGGAAAGTGTCCACTGAGTAGCAAGCACAAAGATCTGAATTCTGTCGCAGCACATGTATGATGTCATATGTGGCTGTGGTTGCCTCTAACCCGGCACTGTGATGATAAAGGCAGGAGCATCCCTGGAGCTTGCCAGCCAGCCAGTCTAGCTGAGCTGTGGATTCTACATTCAATGAGAGAGTCTGTCTCACAAAATAAGGTCAAGAGTGATTAAGGGAAATATCTGACATCAAACCGCCTCCATGTGCACACATACATGTGCATGGATATCCTCAAACACACATACACATATGTGCGCACACATACATATGCATGGATATCCACAAACACACATACATACATGTGCATGGATATCCACAAATACACATACATACATGTGCACACATATATACAACACACACACAACCAACACCAATCCAGTCACTATGAAACTCTGCAACCCAAGGTGACTTGAACTTGCAGCAATTCTCCTGCCCAGGCCTCCCAAGTGCTAGTATTAACATGTTTTTTTTGTCAACCTTGTAGGAAAGGAGGACATGGAAGGCCATCCTGCCCAGATAATCATTGATTCCTTCAACTCAGTGTCTCCTGGGTATCCTGACCCTGTGCCTGATTTTGATGTTTTGTTTTGTTTTTGACACAATTCAGTAGTCCTAGCTGGCTTGGCACTCACTTTGTAGCCTAGTTTGGCCTCAAACTCAAAGTAATCCATCTGTTTCAGCTTTCCGAGTGCTGGAGTTACAGCCATGTACCACCACACCAGGCATCCTGGCATTTCCCCAGACAAGGGACCAAGAGACTGGTGTTCCTGCTCCATAGATGACGGTACAGGGAGGTGATCTGGTGCTTTCCACATGGCCAGGGCTACCCTCTCCGGGTACTTTGCTTCCTGCTTTTTCCATCATTCACAGGTGTGCGGGGTGCAGGACGCAGAGAGGCTACCAGTGCATGGCAGATTGCAAATCTGGCTTATGTGAGGACTCCCATATGGAAGGCTCTCAGAAGGAAAAGGACATGTTTGGAGGCACAGAAGTGGCAGAAAATTATATTTTTCTGAATCAGTGCCAAGTGGAGTGTGTAACACAGGCCAGAAGGAGCCAAAGGGGAAAGGGCCCAGGCATGGAACACATGGTGGCGCCGCCCGGATTGGGAGCCTTGAACAATTTATTGGGAGTGATCAAGCTCCTGTGTGATTCTCTCAGCCAACTGTGGGAGAGAGGTGGAGAAATACCAAGCCAGAGGTTGGCCAAAGGGAGGAAGGGAGGTGCCATAGCCTGTGTAAGTCCAAGGGCATGGAGACCCTGTCACTGCCCTGTGGAGCAGGTCTCAGAGGGTGGTTTGCCCCACTGGGGAAAATGCAGGGGTCTGTGTTCCCAGTAACTCCCTGTGGCAAGTACCACTCTGCACAAGTTAAGGGTTATTTCCCTAATCAGGTGATCAGAAACAATATGGGATTTGTGGACGCTGGTGAATGAATGAGTCAGGGGAAATTGGGGGTCTCCCGGGGGAGTTCTTAGTCTCATTAATCAAGGGATTCAAACGGAAGCACAAGGACAATTTTATTAGCATTTAACGGAAAAACTGCAGGGCAGGCAAACTATAAACTTCAGCTACTGCCCAGAGGAGATGGGAAGAGAGAAGGGAAAAGGCCATGATGCCATCATGTGAGCTGGATTGGAGCTCAGACACACGACCAATAAGAAGCCACAGTGTGGGGAGGGAGACTTTGGAGAAAGAGTAAGGAAGCCAAAAAAATGCTGGGGGAGGGGCATGAAGGAAAACATGCTGAGAAAAGAGAAGGAAGAAAAAGAGAAGTTTCATTTTTCAGAATAACTCAGACTGGGCTGACTTACAACCCGGTGTCTGTGGCCTTTAAGCTTCTGCACCAGGTGCAGGGATTCTGGGAAGGGAAAGTACAGTATCTCAAGAAAGGATTAATTATTCCGCCCATCTCTTTAGCATGGCTTACTATGAACCTGCCTTCCTAGGGATGTCCCTTAGCCAAAGTGATTAAACCAGCCTAGCTGGAATCTCTGGCCTGGGTGGTGTTCTTTCTACTCTGGTATGGTGAGGTTTCTATGGCTGGCTGAGACCAGACTAAGAGAGGATAGAAAGGCGAAGGGTGGCGATGAACCTGAGAGCTGGTTTGGGGCTGTGATGACATGTGACCACTGGAGTTTCTCAGAATAAAGAAATGGTGGCGCTGGGTGCAGTGGCGCACACCTGGATAGCTAGTGAGACAGACACGGAATCATGAGCTTCGAGCCTGCTCTAGAGTGTGCCCCTGTCTAAAAACCTTCTTTGTGCCAGAGGATTAAATTAAATGAGTGAACCCAGGTGCTGGCTTGCTTGTTTGTTTTTGTCAACTTGATACAAGCAAGAATGATTTGGAAAGACAAGAATCTCAATTGAGAAAATGACCCCACCAGATTAGCCTGTGGGCAAGCTTGTGGGGCAATTTATTAATTAATGGGTTGATTGGTCATGACTTGCTCACCCTGCTTTCTCATACAGCTCAGGACCACCTTCCCGGGGGGTGGCACACCCCTCCACTACCCACTGCACAGTGTGTACTGAGGCCCGTGTAAGCCAAATGGTATGCCCAGACTGCAGGACCAAGCCAGCAAGCAGTATTCCTCCATGGTTTCTGCATCAGACCTGCCTCCAAGTTTCTACCCCGACTTCCTTGAGTGATGGACTGTGACATGGAAGTGTAAGGGAAATACACCCTTTCCTGCTCAAGCTGCTTTTGGTCACAGTGTTTTATCACCACAATACAGACCCCGGCTAAGATAGCCCACCCAGCAAGTGGCAGCCCCTATATGAAGTCCCAGCAGCTCCAGAGGGTGAGGCAGGAGAAGCTCTTTCCCTTGAACCCAGGAACTGGAGGCTGACTTGGGCAATACAGAGAGATCCATCATTACAAGTGGCCAGGGTCTGGGCCCAGTGTTTTCAGGTTCTTGGCCTCTTATTCAATGAACCGAAATAACCACACACAGATAAGCAAAGGAGACTTTGTTCAAATAAAAAGCCCAGAGCAGACTCAAAAGATATGAGAAGCTCAGGGTGAAAATGGCCCCAAGAGAGAAGGCACTCAAGGGTCTGGGCACTGTTTGAAGCTTCCTTTTATGGGGTTCAAAAGGAGGAGGAGTTTGATTGCTAAGGGGCAGAGTGTAAGCATTTCTGTGCTTTTTTTTTTTTTAACAGAATTGGATTATGTAAGCCTTCCTGCTCACAGGACATGTCCTTTCCTATGAACCATCTGATTTCAGTCGTGTGCACACCCAATTAGACAAAGGCAAAAGAACAGATAGAGATTTCTTCCCAAAGGTTCCTAAGAAGGAAACCAAAAAAGAAAAAGACATAGTTTGCTTTATTAAACATGTGCCCCAAACCAGCATAGGCTGAACTGGCCCACTGCCCCATAACCATGTCGCAGGATTGTTTGAATACAAACAGGTACTACCAGGGGATTGCTAAGGGGAACAACTTATCCCATTGTTTAAAACATGTGTATGTACAGCTTGATGCAAGTATAGGTCCTCACAGGTCACCAGGAACAGTGTTCAGAGTGGGGGTTTGTACATAGGATATACAGGCGAGGGTCTCAGGCTGCAAAGACACATTCTAAGCCAAGAAGAGTCCTGGCTTCCTTGCCTAACCATGTCTTAAACAAGCCACGCCAGATAACATTTCAAGTAAGGCAAGATATAAGGGCAATATTTTAGAGAAAGTGGGTTGGTTTTGCTGTTGTTATTTTGTCTTTTTAAAAAAAGGAGGATAGAAAGACAGGATAATTATGGGGACATGGGAAAGAGAAGGTGTCTCTCACCCAAGGGTCCAGTTAAAGATTTTTTTAAAATTTGTTTTTATTTTATGTGCATTGGTGTTTTGCCTACCGGAGTTACAGACAGTTGTGAACTGCTATGTGGATGCTGGGAGTTGAACCCGGGTTCTCTGGAAGAACAGCCAGTGCTCCTAACTTCTGAGCCATCTTTCCAGCTCCCAGTTAAAGACTCGTAACACTCTGTAAAAACAGCTAACAAAGCATTAACGTGCCTTCCGCTTAGAGCAGCCGTTCTCAACCTGGGGGTCACAACCCCTTTGCAGGCACATATCTGATATAAACACATTCTGATCATAACTAGCAGAGCTACAACTATGACGGAGCCATGAAATGACTTTATGGTTGGGGATCACAGCATGAAAACTGCATTAAGGGGTCACAGCATTAAGAAGGTTGAGAAGCACCAGCGTTAGGCTATTTTATGGTGGTTTATAACCTTGAGTACTGTCTCACTGTTTCCTCAGACACCATCGAAAACAAAGCTGCTACTTTACCTCCAGTGAGGATGTCATCCCTCTCTCCCTCCCTTCCTCCCTCCCTCTCCACTTTGTCCCTCCCTTCCCTCCCTCCCTATGACTTGAACTTTTATTCTGACAAGTGCCCCTCAGGACCCTTCCAATAGTCTCTTTTGGGTTTCTTAGCTAGCTACTCTGGAGATATTAATACAACAACGTGAAAACTCACCCAAATCCTGTCAAGAGTTGTGGATCCGCGTCCAAGGGCACCTGCTGAGGTCCCCAGAAGCTTGTGTCACCGGGCAAAGACTTGCACCGGGGACATATGATAAAGAAATAGAAAAGTCTGCCAAGAAAGAGAAGGCCACTCCTGGGAATGGGAGTGGCCTAGTGAGCCTGGAAGAGGCACGTGCTGAAAGCATGAAGCCAAAGTCTCATGACGATTTACATAGCACTGGCCTCTCTTCTATTCCAGCCTGCGTTTTTCTCACAACTGCTGTTTGTTACCCTGGTAGGGAAGGGTTTCCAGGCTTTTTGGTCAACTGGCTTCCTTCACATGTTTTTTGTTTGTTTTGTTTTGCTTTTCAAGACAGGGTTTGTCTGTGTCGCCCTGGTTATCCTGGAACTCACTCTGTAGATTAGGCTGGTTTGAACTCAGAGACCCACCTACCTCTGCTTCGAATGCTGGGATTAAAGGCGTGCGCTGCCACCACGTGGCTCATCTTTTTGAAGGTATTTTCTGCATGTATATATGTACAGGGTATGTGTGCATGCGTGTATGCATGTTCAAATATGTAGGGCACAGTGTGGGCAAGTGTGCATGCATTTTTCTCCCCTTCCCTGCTCTTCCACTGTGACCCCAGTGACAGTGTGAAAATCAGAAGCTGCAGCCCCTCCATGAAGAAGCCCAGAGCCGTGCCTTAGGTGTAACCCACTTTCTCCAGAGCACCTCTCCTAACACCTGTGCTTAAGCCTATACTAAAGTATCATTACTAAACCCCAACGCTGCTTCATAAAATGGCTTGTCCTGAAATTATTTTCTGTGTCAGAGTTAGAAATTCCAGTTTGGCCTGAGTTGAGGTCCCTAAAGGTCTAGGGGAACAAACTCTTCAGTCTGCTATAGGTGGGGAGCTGTACCTCCTGCCCGTGTCCGAAAATGCTGGTATTTCAAGACAGGCTCTCTGCTGTAGCCCAAGTTGGGGGTTGAACTCACTGTGTAACCAGGGCTGGTCTTGAACTCCTGATCCTCCTGCCTCTTGCTGGAATTTTAGGAGGGCACAACTGTGCCCAGCCTCCTAAGAGCTTCGAGGGCCTCTGTCTGGAGCGTTACAGGTCAGGAGGATAAGAGGTCTTTATTGCTCTAGTTTCTATGGGAGCTGAGCTGGTATTTTTGAAAGACAGGCAGCCACGGTGGCCCGTACTCTGTCCAGTGAGTCATTTTTTCTTAACATTTCTTGGCCTGGATGGTATCTGCAATTGCATTACCGTGACCTTACTTGAGGACACAGTTACTCAATGTCTTGGGGGACAAGTTGTGTGACAGCGTAGTAGGACACGTGACAGTCCCATGCAAAGCGTTCTGGAGCAGGTCGGAACCAGTCACCTGTGTGTGCCTACAGATTTCTTGGCAAACTCTAGGACCTTCACGTCCAAGTACTGGCCTATTTGTAGGACTTGATACCAAACTCCCCGCTCCACACCCCCCTTTCCTGAGGACTATGGGTCCCTAGCCAGAAGTCACTTGGACAAAATGTCCCAAACCTCTGAATAGCCATTGTTCTCAGATAGAGAATTTGTAAGTCAATTGTGTGGAACGGAAGGCATGTGCTCAGATAAATAAAGCCATGTATAATCTTTGTTATTCGAGACAGCCCTAAAGAACTCCTTGTGCCCCTGTACAATGGTGACCAATCGGCCTCATGCCTCGGCACCCTGTAATGAGAGAGGTCTGTGCCACAACCCTAGGGCCTTGATGTGGCTGCCTGGGACTGGGTAGAGGCCAGTGGGAGAAAGAGGGTGGCCAGACCTAAAGGGAGGCAAAATCTGGCTCAGTCTTCAGTGGCCCCCAGGGTAGGCCTGTCCCCTTTAGTTTTTCTGTCCTTTTGAAGTCCCTAAGGTCTTTGTCCTGGAATGATAATGGTAAAGAGTTCCTGTTTTTCAGTCCCTGGCTCTTAGAAAAGACCAAGGTCAACATTAGGAAGAAAATTAGATTTCAGGGGTGCAAAGAACCAGACATATCTAGATGCCCAAGAACAACTTGCTGTTGAGTCCCCTCAGGCTATGGAGGCAATGGGGGGGCTGTTTCTTTTCAACATATTTTGCCTTTCTCTAAAAGACTAGATGATTAAAATCATACCTCTTCCATCTGATTTTTCTCAACCGACAGCCTTACAAGTGACTAATTTTTAAAATTATCATTAATTATTGTTATTATTTTCTTTGAGACAGATTCTCCTTCTGTAACCCAGTCTTGCCAAAAACTTGTGACAGTTCTTGTAAATTCAACCAGTCAAGAATAAGACCACAACTTAAAGCCAAATTGGAAGCAAGCTTTAAATAAATACTCTCTAGGTGAATGGGTTCTAACCAAGTCCATCACTGAGTTTCTGATGGAGGAGGGTACAGAAAATGGCCCCAATCAGGGTGTACAACAGTTTAAGAATTTCCCATCAGTTCCAATCAGGAGCAAGCATACATCCTGATGTACCTCTAGACTACATCCAATCAGGGGCAAGCATATATCCTGACACATTTCCTGCCTGTGAACCCCCCACCCACACGTGATTAAGCACATCCTAGCAGATGGGTCAAACAAACTTGTTTAGGGGAGTGAGAACAAATGGCTTGTTTTCTCCCATAGACAATAGGCTCCAGTGTTTCAGGTGTTGTAAAAACCAGCAGGAGAGGGACCTTGGCAGGCCAAGGGGCCACACTACAGGTGAGAGCCCACTGCCAGTGAGGGACAGACACCCCATACAGTACCTCCTGCCTACATGTGATCAAGCATAGCCTATGTAATTGGGGCAGCCAAGCTTTTTTACAGAAGAGAAAACATGTGACTTGTTATCTTACATGAACAACCACCCCCAACATTCCAGAAAGTCATCTGTCCTTGGGCACGTAGGGTGTACAGGTTAGAGAAGCTGTTCCCAACCTTTTTGGGGGGTTGGAGGGCCCTTTCACAATGGTCGAATATCAGATATCCTGCATATTATATATTTACATAAAAATTCTTTTTTCATTTATTTTTTGAGACAAGGTTTCTCTGTGTAGCCCTGGCTGTTTTTCAAGAGAGGGTTTTTCTGTAGCTTTGAAGCCTGTCCTGGAACTCCCTCTGTAGACCAGGCTGACCTTGAACTCACAGATCTGCCTGCCTCTGCCTCCAAGTGTTGGGACTAATGGTATGTGCCACCATTGTTAGCATTCAGGCTATGTCGGTCTGTTCGTCTATCTCTCTTTTCTCTTCTGCTGCTCCGGTCCCCATACACACACAAAGAAAAAAGAAACAGAAAAAAATATAGGAAAGCTAAGGACATAGAAGAATGAGAGGAAGAGAGAGAGAGAGAGAGAGAGAGAGAGAGAGAGAGAGAGAGAGAGAGAGAGAGAGAGAGAGAGAGAGAATATCCAGGGGACATGAGAAGGGAAAAAGAGCTTACTTGCCTAGAGCATCTTGAGGAAGAAAAGCAAAAATTCCTTTAAAAAAAACTCCCCCTTCCCAGCTGTAAACCTGAACTTTTCTATGGATTGCATCTTACAGTAAGAGCCATGTCTTAAACTCCTTTATAACTCTAACGGCTTCTGGTTTTAGTTTATTAGATTGTAATCCCATCCAAGATAGCTCCAGAGTCAATTTATAATCAATCTCAACTGTCAAAACAAGAAACAGAGACAAGGAAGGGAGATGTGATAGTCTGAAAGTAATTGGACCCCAGAAGCTCAGAGGGAGTGGTACTGTTAGGAGATGGGTGTGGCCTTGCGGAAGGAAGTGTGTCATGGTGGCAGCAGGCTTTGAGGTCTTCTATGCTCAAGCTATACCTAGTTCAGTTCACTTCCTGTTTTCTGTGAGTCAAGATGTAGGACCCTCAGCTCCTTCTCCAGCACCATGTCAGCTTGCATGCTGCCATGTGGCTCCATGATGATAATGAACTAAGCCTCTGAAAATGTAAGCCACTCCCATTAAATGTTTCCTTTATAAATGCTGTTGTGGTCATCGGTGTTTCTTCACCCTGACTAAGACAGATGGGGTCCCCAGAAAGTCATTAAACAATGAGATTCCAAAAGGGCTTCTCAGATCTCAGACACACAGTCCCTTCTAGGCCTGAAATGTAGCTCCTGGAGAAGCCCACACCCATGCTGCGGGCTGTGCCTTATGTTCTTCTCAGCACTTCTTCAGCACATGTGCTTATAAATATATCAAAATATCATCCGTAACATTCTAAGCTCTGACTAGTCCATCCGGAATTCCTTCCAGCATCAAAGCCACAAGTCAGTTTTGTCCTGAATTAGGTCCTTAAAGTGGAGGGGAACTCCTCAAGCTGTGTCTCAGTCCCCATATTGCTGATAGCATCAGGGCTTTTCAAGGACCACTAAGAGAATGCTCCTTCCTCCTATTCAAAAGAGTATCTCGGACTCTGAGTGGAGCCATGACATTCCAACTGGCTTAAGACGTAAGATCACAAAGGTGTACTGCTGTCCCTGCCTTATGAGTTAGTCCAACAGGGCCTGCCAGGACAGGAAACTATCCCTCAGGAAAGCTGAAACACTGGAAGCAAACTCTAATAAAATGGTCCTCGAGTTTCCTTCTGCATCCTTTTAAAGCTCTTTTATTAAGGAGATTAAGAACCTGCAAAAGGGAACCTGTGTTCCCTAGACACAGGAAGCCCATGTTTTGCTACCAAAGCCATTGTTGGCATTAGGGTCAGAGTTGGGGCCCTTCCAGCCCCAGCAGGCCAGGCCCAGTCAACTGTCCTTTGCAGGCCAATTCAAGACTCAAGGTAATAATAAAAAGCTGAAAGAGGTGATTTATTCAACAGCACCACATTGCAATGGGAGACAAAGAGGTTCACTGATCCCCCCCCCCCCCCCCAACAGTCTTGAGAACCCTGGTGCTGGTTTCAAGTTTGAATAGAAAGACTCAGGGCAAGGAATCTGGGCCAAGGTGGGGCCTGCCACGACCAGAGACTCTCCTGTAAGGTGGACCTTGGCCAATGTGGGGCCTGCTGTGACCAGAGACTCTCCTGTGACGTGGTCAGACAAATGGTTAGAACTGTGTTTCTTTCCAGTGGAGAAGCTGCACCAGGCTCCCTGCCTCTTCTTGTTCCCAATGTGAGATTCCTGGGGGATATTCTGATGTCTTGGGATCCATTGCTTTAACAGTCTGCTAGACAAAGAGAAGGCACAATATCTTCATTCCTGCCAGGATGGTTCTGAAACTCTCTGACATTAGCCAGCTTATGGGTAGCCAAGTTTCTGCACCAAACTGTGGGCTGTTGCAGGGGTCAGTTAATTCCCTAAGGGGATGCAGAACTCTCACAGTCCTGGAGCTGAAAAGAGTCTCTAAAACACATCTAATTTTCCTCCTGGCTCTGCGCTCTGCTGGATTATCCTAGACAATGAAAGACTTCTAATTTTTTAGGTTCCTCCAGGGAATGAAGTCGGTGACTCTCAGCGACCTGTCTTGGTAACAGATAACTACTCTGTTGACAGCCGTCCTTTATTCCCACCTCTGGGTC